CTATAAAAGAAATATTTATAATTTCAGTAACTTTAAAACGGTTATATTTTAATCGATTCGGTAGGTTTAGTGTTAAGGTTATATTATAAGGTAATTTTATATTCTAATTATATATACATATATATATATATATAATTATATAATGCTTATATCGGGGTAGCGTCTGATTATCAATTTTAAACTTCGCAATTTTAACAACATATAGCAATTCGGCAACCCCAAAAACACGAGAATGGGGATTTTCATGAAAGTCGTACAAAGTTATAAATTATAGCGAATTTTTAGAGAGAAAGATACCATAGTGTGGGTCGTCGAGTTAGATATCAACGATCCTCCATAAATTTCCGAAGAGAACAGTTTTCTTTCGATGAAAATTATGGCTCGCGACTCGCGCCTGTTTTTTATTTCTCGGTGCTGCGACACGATTCCATCGCCGCAGCGGCGTCGACGGCGGCACGCTTTTTCTGAAAGTGTTTCAAATTTGTTTGGCGGGAATGTGCGTGTTTATGGTTTCCGCGAAAGCATTGCAATCAGCCCTCTCTGATGACCCCTTTTTCGACGAGAAATTAAAGCCAGCGTTTCATTTTATAAAGCTGTTCCCGGAATTACGATGGATTTGTCTGCGGACGATCGCTTAGAAAAGATACAATCATTGAAATGAACTAGAGGCTCATTTTACGGAGATTACAGAGCCACGGGTACCGACCGGCCGATCGAAACAATTAAAAGAAAAACTGGTTTCGCGGCGCGGCCGATCGGCCATCGATTATCGCGCTTTCCGACCCGTTTGCCGCTACAATTTTTCAGCCGCAAAACCGGGGGTTGAAAACATGTATGATGTCGGTTCTGGTTCTCGAAACGATTATGAAGAATTGACAAGGTTTCGTAACAGTTGTAAAGCGTATCTAGGAGAAATTTTTAAGTATACTTCTTTATTGAAGCTATATTATAATATAAAGCATACAAAGCTTAAATAAATCCAGTCTTGGCACTGTTATAAATATATTTTTTTATTAAAATATTTTTAGGAGAAATATTTATGTACACTTCTTTATTGAAGCATATATTATAATATAAAGCATACAAAGCTTAAATAAATCCAGTCTTGGCACTGTTATAAATATATTTTTTTATTAAAATATTTTTAGGAGAAATATTTATGTACACTTCTTTATTGAAGCATATATTATAATATAAAGCATACAAAGCTTAAATAAATCCAGTCTTGGCACTGTTATAAATATATTTTTTTATTAAAATATTTTTAGGAGAAATATTTATGTACACTTCTTTATTGAAGCATATATTATAATATAAAGCATACAAAGCTTAAATAAATCCAGTCTTGGCACTGTTATAAATATATTTTTTTATTAAAATATTTTTAGGAGAAATATTTATGTACACTTCTTTATTGAAGCATATATTATAATATAAAGCATACAAAGCTTAAATAAATCCAGTCTTGGCACTGTTATAAATATATTTTTTTATTAAAATATTTTTAGGAGAAATATTTATGTACACTTCTTTATTGAAGCATATATTATAATATAAAGCATACAAAGCTTAAATAAATCCAGTCTTGGCACTGTTATAAATATATTTTTTTATTAAAATATTTTTAGGAGAAATATTTATGTACACTTCTTTATTGAAGCATATATTATAATATAAAGCATACAAAGCTTAAATAAATCCAGTCTTGGCACTGTTATAAATATATTTTTTTATTAAAATATTTTTAGGAGAAATATTTATGTACACTTCTTTATTGAAGCATATATTATAATATAAAGCATACAAAGCTTAAATAAATCCAGTCTTGGCACTGTTATAAATATATTTTTTTATTAAAATATTTTTAGGAGAAATATTTATGTACACTTCTTTATTGAAGCATATATTATAATATAAAGCATACAAAGCTTAAATAAATCCAGTCTTGGCACTGTTATAAATATATTTTTTTATTAAAATATTTTTAGGAGAAATATTTATGTACACTTCTTTATTGAAGCATATATTATAATATAAAGCATACAAAGCTTAAATAAATCCAGTCTTGGCACTGTTATAAATATATTTTTTTATTAAAATATTTTTAGGAGAAATATTTATGTACACTTCTTTATTGAAGCAAAAAACATGTATGATATCGGTTCTGGTTCTTGAAACGATTATGAAGAATTGACAAGGTTTCGTAACAGTTGTGAAGCGTATCGGTTTCAATCTTGATTCTTGTCAGTAATGAAGTATTGCAAAGATCTGATCATATCGCACGGATTTTTTAAACTTAAACTTAGACTTAACGTTAGAACTGCGAAGCCATGAACGCGACTATTGTACGTATATTTCATTTTATTTACGTTGTATATTTTTTGTTTGTACATTTTTCCTAGAAATATTTTATGAAAAGATGTATTTATAACAGTGCTAGGACTGCATTTATTTAAACTTCGTATGCTTTATATTATAATATATGCTCCAATAAAGAAGTGTACATAAATATTTCTCCTAAAAATATATATATATATATTTTATAAAAAAATGTATTTATAACAGTGCCAGGACTGGATTTATTTAAACTTCGTATGCTTTATATTATAATATATGCTCCAATAAAGAAGTGTACATAAATATTTCTCCTAAAAATATATTTTATAAAAAAATGTATTTATAACAGTGCCAGGACTAGATTTATTTAAACTTCGTATGCTTTATATTATAATATTTGCTTTAATAAAGAAGTATACATAGATATTTCTCCTAAAAATATATTTTATAAAAAAATGTATTTATAACAGTGCCAGGACTAGATTTATTTAAACTTCGTATGCTTTATATTATAATATTTGCTTTAATAAAGAAGTATACATAGATATTTCTCCTAAAAATATATTTTATAAAAAAATGTATTTATAACAGTGCCAGGACTAGATTTATTTAAACTTCGTATGCTTTATATTATAATATTTGCTTTAATAAAGAAGTATACATAGATATTTCTCCTAAAAATATATTTTATAAAAAAATGTATTTATAACAGTGCCAGGACTAGATTTATTTAAACTTCGTATGCTTTATATTATAATATTTGCTTTAATAAAGAAGTATACATAGATATTTCTCCTAAAAATATATTTTATAAAAAAATGTATTTATAACAGTGCCAGGACTAGATTTATTTAAACTTCGTATGCTTTATATTATAATATTTGCTTTAATAAAGAAGTATACATAGATATTTCTCCTAAAAATATATTTTATAAAAAAATGTATTTATAACAGTGCCAGGACTAGATTTATTTAAACTTCGTATGCTTTATATTATAATATTTGCTTTAATAAAGAAGTATACATAGATATTTCTCCTAAAAATATATTTTATAAAAAAATGTATTTATAACAGTGCCAGGACTAGATTTATTTAAACTTCGTATGCTTTATATTATAATATTTGCTTTAATAAAGAAGTATACATAGATATTTCTCCTAAAAATATATTTTATAAAAAAATGTATTTATAACAGTGCCAGGACTAGATTTATTTAAACTTCGTATGCTTTATATTATAATATTTGCTTTAATAAAGAAGTATACATAGATATTTCTCCTAAAAATATATTTTATAAAAAAATGTATTTATAACAGTGCCAGGACTAGATTTATTTAAACTTCGTATGCTTTATATTATAATATTTGCTTTAATAAAGAAGTATACATAGATATTTCTCCTAAAAATATATTTTATAAAAAAATGTATTTATAACAGTGCCAGGACTAGATTTATTTAAACTTCGTATGCTTTATATTATAATATTTGCTTTAATAAAGAAGTATACATAGATATTTCTCCTAAAAATATATTTTATAAAAAAATGTATTTATAACAGTGCCAGGACTAGATTTATTTAAACTTCGTATGCTTTTTTATTATAATGCTGCAATAATGAAGTGTATTTCTCCTAGAAATATTTTATAAAAAGATAAATACATCTGTATTTTTCAACACAGTATATATATTATATGTATAATATAATAAAATATACATATATATATACGTGAATATGTGTAACTATATATAATTGAGACTATAACTAGACAACTATAATAACATAATAAGTAAAAACATATAACTAACTTCAACATACACAATTTATATTTCACTATAAGCGAAATACACGCAGAATTAGTGTGAATTAGTGAATAAGTTCGTTCGCTATAAGAAATGTTTCACTATTATTATTATTATATTTATTATTATATGTTCGATTAAACACTAAGGTGATCGAAAAGAGTTTATTGCGACGCGACCGATATCTAATCTTTATCTAATCTGTTGCAGTGTGAATAAGACAATGAAGATATATGTATTCGACTAAGTTATTCAAGATTTCAGAGCGACTGCTTGCTCAGGCATCGAAATATTATTCGCGTCTATTTGATAAAATCATTGTATACGCGAAGCTGGTGTCGCTTTTAACTCTTTATAGCATTCTCAAGACTCTCCTGAAAGTTTGAATTGCCGTACATTTTATGCTACTTGTGTGTACGCATTAAAAGATCCTTAAAACTGGATTAAGTAATAAAACAAAAATCTTTCCTTTCACATCGGTCAAAGAACCGCGAACATTTTGGCCGACCAAACGCTTCGAGCACACTGTGCACACTTTATTAGATCGTTAAATATGAACTGCATACTTTACTCCATAATTTTACTATAAAATCTATGCATTTCGTACTCGACCACCTAATACGTGCTTCGAGCTTTATGATTTTCCCTGCGGAACGTCTCATCACGGAATCATTCGAAACGAATAATATTGTACATTTCGGAGCCTCAAAGGGTTATCGTTGTAACAAAAATATCCGTTTAAACATATCGAGCTCGACAAAAATCGCCAGTTGGACCAAAAGGAAACGGGTTTCCAGCCGACTGTGCGGCGAAACTTCGCGAAATTGATTCTCCGCGGATAATGCAGTTGCCTGTTTGAGAACCGGAGAGCCGGTTGAACGTGCGACGACACTACTGTGTGGTGCTGTGTTCCTCTCCGTGCCACGCGCTGTGCAACGATATTTACTTCGTGAAACTACCAGCGAGATACAAGGTATTTCATTGTAATTTCATTGCCCACGCGCTCCTACATCGAGCAAACACCGCGGCGCAGCATTGTTAGAGACAGAACAGCGAATACTGCAAAGCAGGTAACGCGCATGCATGGGGGAAACGGTAGGAGGCCTGATCAGCGCGGATACGTAGGCGCGCGGCCGCGGAGACGACGGCGACCATTCGGCCCCGTTTCCCTGCGCTCGACCGGCGAGAAATCACCGATTGTTAAAGTTCTCTAACTCGTTTCGGTCCTCGATTCCCTCGGCAAAGTAAGGTTAAGGGTACAGTGTGCATCTCGCATGGTTTCTGAACCGAGAGCTGCGAGGCAGCACCGTGCAACAGCCAGGCGGTGCCCGGAGCGCCTCCAATCGATGGAATGCGACACTAAAGCCGGCGCGGGTCTTTCGAAGTCCAACGGCTTGTCGGCGCGTTTGATCCGCGCGCTGACTTAACCCTTTGCACTCGAGTGGCGACTCTTGGGGCACCACTAAAATTTTATATCACGTTCTAAAATTATTTTTATATTATCTGTTATACTGTTATAATATATATAATATATAATATATAATATATAATATATAATAATATATAATAATATATAATATATATAATATATAATAATATATAATATATATTATATATATATTATACTGTTATCTGTTATACTGTATTATAAATACAGTATAACGCTGTTGTATGAATCACTTTGTCGTATATAAAATGGAAATACTGTAAATTAGAAAAATTATTTTAGATTTACAGTTGAAATGGCTTCGAGTGCAAAGGGTTAACACTAGATTGTCGGAGCGAGTCAATTTGAATCATTTACGATTTTATTGCTATATATTGGATTGGCAACTAAGTAATTGCCGATTTCAGTTATAGATGTCTCTCACTCCCATTTTTATGATATCCGTAAATGTTATATTATAATATTATTATTATTATTATTATTATGTTATTTTTTATTATCCGTGAATGTTAGCAACTGGACAAATTGAATGCAGCGGTCAAGGAAAAGCGACCAGAATTGGTCGATCGTAAAGGTGTAATTTTCCAGCAGGACAATGCTAAGCCGCACACGTCTTTGTCCATTCGGCAAAAATTGATGGATATTGGTTGGGAATTGATGTTACACCCACCATATAGCCCTGATCTCGCGCCATCGGATTACCACTTATTTCGATCCCTGGACAACTCCCTTCGTGGTAAAACTTTTAACGATGATGACGCTGTAAAATCTCACTTAACTCAGTTTTTGGCCGAAAAGGATCAGACTCTCTACGAGCGTGGAATTTTCAAGTTGTCAGAGAGATGGCAAAAGGTCATCGAACAAAATGGAAAATACATTACAGATTAAACTTCGTTCCAAGTAAAAAAAAATTTTTATTTCATTGAACAAATCGGCAATTACTTAGTTGTCAACCCAATATATAGGGAAAAACTTAAATGCTTTTTTTTTAAACATATGTTGGTTATTTAAAACATATGGTGGTCATAATTCTATTGAAAACCAACATACGTTTTAGAAAAAATTATTTAAGTTTTAAACAAATTATTTCAGTTTTTCTATATACATAGCATTATAATCGTAAATGAATCAAATGGACTCGCTCCGGCAATCAAGTATTAAAGTGGTATTCTGGTTAAGAACTTTCAAACAATTGAATTTTATTTTATCGCATTTTCTCAAAATATATGCCGTCGAAAGATACGTCTGAAACAGGATTTGTTTGAATTCGTGTGCGAAATTACAGATTTTGAAGACCGCTAATGTGTAAGTGTACACAATATTTCCACGTAACCGATTAACGCGAATACACCTTCTAAAAC